ATGTATGTATTCTTTTCAATTGTTTATTATTATTATTATTATTATTATTATTATTATTATTATTTACTCTGTCATCTTTACTCCAGATTAAAAAGCAAACAAACAAATCCATTGAAGATTGTATTTATTTGTTTTCTTTATTGAATACAAATTTCATTGAAATATTATCAAAAGAATTGATTCTATTTTATAAAAGATCTGATCTTTGTATTTGATCATAATATAAAGTGTTTAATGTATTTGATTATAATCAATGTAGAGATTGACCCTTAACCCTTTAATGCCCTGTTATGGTTTAGGGTGGGGCGAGATAGTTCTGATTTATGATCATTTCCAGCAAGTTTCTTTATTGTATCATACAATTGTCTCATGTTTCCTACTCTTGCAGCTTTTTTCCGCCATCATTGCTAGATGTTTCATATATTTATGTTTATCGGTTCTGATGCTCTTCTTCACTTGTTTGTTTACTTTTGTGTATTCAGCTTGTGCCTTGGCTTTTCCTTGAATCTTATCCAGTATGTCCTTGTGATGATGCTTCTTGTGGTCCAGAACCTCATGACATGTTGAAGTGATTGCCACTTTTATCCCCTTCCAGTTTCTCTTCATTAAATGCCTGAATTCGTTGAGTTTGTCAGTATCCCAAAGAAAGACCGTATTAAATTTTTGTGATGTTTCCCATCCCGTTGTCCAGTGATTCTTGAGTTTCATCTTGGAGACCAGCAAGTGATGATCTGATGCTATATCACCTCCGCTCTTTGTTCTCACTTCCTTCATCGTCCTCCTGAACTTTTTGTTGATGCAGAATTGGTCAATTTGGTTCTGTGTAGTGTGATTCGGTGAAGTCCATGAATTTTTGTGTATGCGCTTGTGTGGGAATATAATACCGCCTATGACCAGTTTATTAAAGGCACATAGGTTTGCAAATCTCTCACCATTTTCGTTCCTTTCTCCAAGTACATGTCGTCCCATGATGCCTTCATATCCGGTGTTGTCCATTCCAATCTTGGTATTTAAATCTTCCATCAGAATGGTCAAGTCCTTTGTTGGGCACTTCTCAACGATTGACTGCAGTCTGTCGTAGAACTGATCTTTAACGTCTTCATCGTAGTCGTTAGTAGGCGTATAGCATTGGATGACGTTCATTTTAATGCATTCTTCCTTTGTTTTAAAGGAGGCTTTTATGATTCTGGGTCCATGAGATTCCCATCCTATAAGTGCTTGTTTCGATAGCATCAGCGCAACTCCCTGTGTATGTGGAGCATTTTCCTCCTCATGGTTGAAGTATAACAGCAGCTTTCCTGAAGCTAGTCTTGGTTGTCCAATCTGCGTCCAATGTATTTCACTGATCCCAAGCACCTCCATATTGTATCTTTTTATTTCTGCAGCGATTTGGATGACTTTCCCAGTCTCTTACATTGTATGAGCATTCCATGTGCCTAAATTAATGGTTGCTTCGGTTGTCAGATAATAATACAAAAATATATGGATAAAATTAACAATGACTACTATTTTCCCTTCTAATCTGTTGAAGTAAGTACTTAACGAATATAATCACAATACCCCCAAATGCCCTGGTACGGACAAGGTTGGGTAGAGTCAGCTCTCCCTCTCGAAATGCTCTTACATAGTCACGTGTATACAGCCACTGATAGGAAGGTACTAATCATTGCCTTTTCTTGGAGGGGGTGTTGTTTACTAAATTGAAAGGAGGAAAAGCGAATGTCTGGCCCTTTAACCGGGTTGGTGGATACGGCGTATCCATCTAGGGGAGTTGGGAAACCCTGATTCAAAACTAATAGTGCATATGGACTCCAGTATCGTGAAGGAACAAATGGAGTATAAACCTATTTTTGGTCATAGGTTACTATGTGACTGGACCTCTCAACGTTGCTCAACTCTCTTATGGGTTAAACCTTTTTTGGTCAAAGAAAAACCCACCTGCTTTGGTCTGAGCACCCGAACAGTATCATAGCCCACACACAAATCAAGCGACTTTTCTGGCGCATATATATTTGATGCCTCCTTATACTAATGTTTGTGTTCCAATAAATAAATCATTGAGTATACTTTGATCATCTTGTGTCATTGAATAAAAGTAAAGCAAAGGAATTTTTTTCTTTTCAACCAAATCATTTACTTACATTGATATTTATAGTTGTATGGTTAATATGTAAGTTTATAGAAGGACAGAAAAGATTGCATCATAAAGGGATTCGAGACTTTAATTATCCAATGAGGTCACGTAATAATCAAGGGATTAGATAAGAATAGAAGGATGAAAATAATTTACGGGTCAGAATTATGAAAGATAATTGTTCACATGATAAATATGAAGATAAACAAGAAATATAAAGGTCATAATAAAAAGTTAAGTAAATGGTTTCTTTGGAAAGCGGAAATTTTCTCTGCTGAATTCTCTTTATCTTTATAAAATGACATAATGGGTTATTTTAATTATGATAGTTGAATTGATGAATAGATCTAAGCTAGACAACTACTGAAAACCTGGAAGTTCCTGTCTGCCTTTTCATCACAGTATGGGAGTCCCTAGCAGTACGCACCCACGATCCCGCCCAGGAAATCTAAACCCAGAACCTTCGGTCTTGCGCATTACTGAAGAGCCCCACAATAGGACGAGACGGCCGTCCAGTGATTACAGGTTTTTGATGGTAGTCAATCTTAGATTGACTCATGTGTTCAACTGGTAAAATTACTACAATTTCCATAAATACCCGTTCTGATAATGATTATATCCTCACTAGTGACTAGCTTCAAAATAAATTTCCTGGATATCTAGTGAGAAGCCGTGATCAGTGGAGTTCAATTTGTGTCGGATGCAGTTGGTTATTTACTTCAGACAATGCATGAAGGGTTGCGCAAAATTAAAAAAAATGTAATTTTGATATTTAATTGGTTAGCTTTTACAGATTAACTTCAAATTCATCTAAAATCGTGGATTGCCAAAATACTATTTTGTTTGAAATACAATGATCGTAAAGAGAACTAAATATCTTAGGCTCCTTTCTACTGTAGTATTTTAAACTCAAATGATATGTATATTGGATATCTTTGTCAGTAGGACATAAGTGTTCATTACAAATCTAAAGATTCTTTCTTATATCTAGAGCTTATATTCTTGATATACCGCGTACAACTTGAATACTCAAACGCTAGAACTCTTCAAGTCGCAAAATGAGAAGATAGAAGACGAGTGAGAAGAAAGATTATTCCAACAGTGTCAAATATGGTACAAAACTCTCAGGTATTTGTAATTTTTAGTAAAACTAAAATCATCATTAAAGTCATCCAATTCACATACAAGAGTTTTTATCATTAGTCCAGTAGGGAAGCTACACATAGAGATTCTAGAATGTTCTTTGATAAAATGATTAGATAGAATATCTTTGGCTCTTTCTGAGCTCCCTCCAGTTCACCCGTAGGCTGTCCTCACATTCTTGAACTGATCCTCATCAAAAGTAATATCTAGATTTTTACAGCATATGACGTCATTGACTAATAATTTATTTCATATATCCATGTCAAATGAATACACAAAGTAATGATGAATGTTGTGATCCACAGCTTATTACTTGGATGCTCTGCAATTCCACTCTTTTTTAGTCTTTACTTAATTCAAAAACCTGGTTTCTTCAAATTACATATCATCTGTGCCAAGTAGGTATTTCATATAAATCTTAGGATGTTTTAATGTAAAACTGATTGACTAAATGATAGATTGTGCTACTTGTAATGCAAATAAAGTAAGGAATATTCATGAAATTCTTAACAAGCGAATGATCTATAAAGGACAACTTGATTTGTTCACAAATTCATTATTATTTATAATTTTTATGCAGATAAATATATACTATGTGCTTCAACTGATTCCTCTCTACTTCTCTTCCATGAGATTCCTGGAAGGTGGGTACTTCTTATCGATCTGAAAAGCTTACAAGTTTCGTGTACACCTTAGTGATAAGATGTAATACATATGCGAATAAAAGACAGATCAATTGCAGTTCTAAACATCAATGGGACGAATCAAGTAAACAATACGAAGTGATATTCAACTTCACCACATTGCATAAGTAAGTGGTTATCAGGACTCAGTGGATAACGCGATGATGTTTGAAGCAAACGGTACTGTGTTCGAGTCATTGAGTGAATATCAGCTGCAGGATGCAGGTACATCCAGTTGACAAGTTCCAAATAAAACGAAACGCGCGTCAAACTGGATTCCACTGTTAGCCACTATCCATTTTTGCTTATAAAAAGACTTTTTGTCCCTAGCAGTTATGTATTATTTTCATATTTATATGTAGATAGTCTAATTTTATGTTTAAATATTAAGCAATATCCTTAAGAACGGTTGTATACATCTCTTAAATGATAGTCTATGAAGACAACAGGTAATCATTGTTGTTAGACATTAGTTACAGAAGGGTAGTTATTCTGTTTAAGGGATTACAAACATCTAGTTGTCAATTAAATGTATGATGCGTAGAACAGTAAATCAATGACCAGATCGAACGATCAATTTAGAAAGGTAGTGAACCTTCGGTACGTTTTTTTTTGTAAATTGTTGGGGCAATTCAGAAAACTCGAAAAGAAGCCAAAAAAAGGCTCTGAAAACGTTGAGAAACGTGCTATCTAATCAGCATTCAATAAACGTTTTGTCAGAAACATTTACAAAGTAAAAAGTCACATAACACGTTTCTGATTGGATGATTACCTATAGTGCGTTCCAGATTTCTCCTAGAAGCCTAAGACCATTCAAACTACTACAAAAACCCTAGATTCTATGTACATAAATGAACCTTTGAAGTAAAGCGTTTTTTTTTTCAATGTTTCGCATCTTTTCTCTCATGTTCAAGTTGCTGTGTAGATTCGGCCCTTGAGACAGAGGCGGGGGGGGGTTACTAGAATAGTTTAGGAAACCGAATCTAGGCATTGAATTAGAAAACTTATCATAAATCGATTGAAATAAGAAAACAAAACAATCGTAATGTTTTTTTTTTTAATAATTACATTCCAATTATTGCACATAGATATACTTTGTAATGGAGCATAAACTCTTATATATGAATATGTATATGTATATAGATAGATAAATGGCATAGTAACACATAAGTCAATGCCGTTAGCAACATGTTGACAATCTTATGTAGAAAAAGAAAAAAAAAAGATTTTCCTTCATCTTTATTTATCGAATCCATTCATATAAACAAACAACATAATAAGTATTATTATATGTTCAATATTATTCTGTAAACAATAATAATGATAAATAATTAAGAATTATTATAATCTATTCCATTGGTATAGATTTGATACGTTCATATATTGATCGTTTACCCATACGCATATTACGTAATCCACGTTTATGATAATCTGGATATCTTCTTGCATATGCTATTTGATAATCATAATTTGGATATCTTTGCCATGCATCAAAATCATCTACTTCTGTAAAACTAATTGTATTTTGAATGTGTACACCTTTAAATAAAAACAATTATATATTGGATAGATGAATATAATATGTAATTAGACATGTATATTAAACATAATTTATTAGTAAGCTAGACCAACACTATTGAAAATCTGGAAGCAGTGAAGAGTTTTTTCGTCTTAGTACGGAACTCCTCAACAATGTGCATCCATTGTTTGTTTTTTTTTTTAGAATTGAACTAAGAACCTTTGTTCTCATTTGTGAACGCTTCACCACTGAGTCGGTATCCAACAGTGTAATCAATCTTTATCGGTTATGAACAGTTATTTACCACAAACAATAGATGGAGGTTTGCTCACGATGTCAGATGTCAACAGCATTATATACCGGTTAAGGGTTTGGAGTTCGATTTCCACATTGGAAGTTGTGAATTCACACTGTTGTGTTCTATTCTAGGACGAGAAAGCCATATATTGCTTCCAGGTTTCCAATGGTAGTCTAGCTCTAGATTGATTTGATTTCACTAATTGCAAACATGAAGGTCTTTGATTTAATCTCATATCTAGTTATAAAGTTTGTATTTCTGAATAATCTCGACAAAAAATTAGACGGCAGATATCACTGAAAACAATCGTATGATAGTTTTATACAATTCGAATTTACTAAAATTGTAATTATGGACTATTGAATGCCAACTCAGTGATCTCAAACGATCAAAATATCACTGTAGGATCTGAATTATGTATGAAGAGGCTTTGATTTAGTACAAATAAATTGTCTAATAACTCATTTCTTCTTTATACAGAAGTGACGAGACTTGGCTATCCATGGGATTCTTCTCTGCTGGATATACCTGCATCTCAAATTTTATGTCTACACACTAATAATCCAAACTATTATAAATTCAATTAAAATTCATACATGTTGCATAAATGAATAGTTATTTGGACTCAGTAGCTAAGTGAATAGTACGCTAGTGTTTAAACCAAAGGTATTGAGATCGAATCTAAGAGTGAACATCAACAATGGAATGAAGCTACACCTAGCTGATAAGGACGAAACACTTATACTGAATTCCACTGCTAGCCACATTTGATCGATTCTCTATAAACTTGTATCATAATAAGCAAAGATGGATAGTAGCTAGCAGTGGAATTCAGGATGCAATTTTCGTCCTATTGGGGACTTGTCAGCTGAATTTACCTGCATCTTACAGTTGTTGTTCATTCAGTAACTCTATCCCAGTACCGTTTGTTTCAAACGCCATCGCATTATTCACTTACCTACTGACTCCTGATAGCTACTCGTTTGTGAATTTGTGTCATAACAATCATAATTAACAGCATAGCCAACTATGACGAGTCAAAATATCCAAGTCACTACAAATTCAATTGATATTTAGTTTATTCATGAAAACGACTCTTTTCAAGTAATCAATACCAAGTGGATAATGCAATGAAGTTTGAAGTGAAAGGTACTGGATTTGAGTCCCAAAGTGAACATCAACTGTGGGATGCAAGTAAATCCAGCTGACTAGTCCCCAATGGGACGAAACACGCTTCAAACTGGATTCCACTGCTAGCCACTATCCATCTTTGCTTATTATGATACATGTTTATATGGAATCGATGGAATATGGTTAGCGATGGAATTCAGTATAAGTGTTTCGTCCTTGTCAGCTAGGTGTAACTTCATTCCATTGTTGATGTTCACTCCTGGATTCGAACTCAATACTTGATTCCCTACGTCTTTGCTTAAGAACGATCTCTCTGTTTACAAGAAGATATAGCTATACAGACACCTTATTCTAATTTATTGATTAGATTATTTCTAATAAACTAAAATGATTTCCTTAAACTGTCACTATAATAAAACAAACAAATTCAATCATAGATAATGAAAGGAAATAATAATAATAATCATCAACAGGATTAAATTATCAAGTTTCCTTGTTTATCATTTAATGACGATGATGATGATGATGATGAAAACAATCAGTGAATCAATGTGATTTGTTTATTTTGTTTATCAATATGTCCTTGTGTCTATAACATTCCTCATTAGATTTTACATTTATTGTATAGATCAACAAACAAACAATGTAAACAGATATCTTATTATCCATTATAGGAATGTCATACTTCATAACTGAAGTTATGCATTAATCAGGATAAATAGAGAGATGGAAATGAAACAACTAAATGGGGGGGGGTAGTGGGGGTGAGGTGGGGGGGGAAATGATATGTTAATCCTATGTGAAATTATTATTATTATATTTTGGGTGTTGTTTTATTTATTAATGAAATACATATACTACTTATAGACATACATTAATATGTGTATGGATGTATTTTTGTGCATTAATTTGAAATATTACAATATGCTTTCCCAACTATGACAAGGTTTATTTACTTTCAATTCACATAATAAACTTAACAGGAGAAAAAAAAACCCAGTGATTATGTTTATTATGAATGAAATAAAACTATTCAGTAAAATTTAAGAAGGTTAGTGTGATTAAGGTGCTCCCAAATGCCCTGGTACGGCCGAGAGTGGGGAGAGTCCACTCTCCCTCTCCAAATGCTCTCACATGGTCACGCGTATATAGACTCTGCCAGGGAAGTCCTACTCACTGCCTCTTCGTGGCATTACTGTTGTTTACGAAAATGAGAGGACGAAAAGAGAATGTCTGGCGATTTAACCGGATCCCAAACCAATGGTGCACATGGGCTGGCTCCAGTATCCTGCCTGAGGGAACAAATCGCGTATGAACCAATCGATGGTCACCAGCTACCATGGGACTGCATCTCCTTACGATGTTCTACTGCCTTGTGGATCAGACGTGTTCAGGTCGAAGGCTCGAGGTGTGGCCCCCTAAGTAAACCACCTGCTTCGGTTTGGGCACCCGTGTAATATCACGGCCCTCACACTTATCAAATGAGATCTGTGTGGCGCATATGTATTTGGTGCCTCCTTATACCAATACCTATGTGTTAAATTAAATAAATAATAAGTGTGATTAACGTGAGTTCCAACTTTAGAATGAAACATTATTGAAAACTGTAAGTAATTTTGAACTCTTTAATAATGTGTTCGAAGCTGAGAATCTTCGGATTTAGTGTTTAGAATAACAACTTGAAACCAATACATTTACATTTTTGTAAATCATCAAGCTAAACTAGTGGAGCTAATCCATGTCAGGTAGAGATAGATATCTACCTTAGTACAATGGAAGATAGTCGCACAATGTTGTGGATTGGTTGAAGTTAGACATTAACACCGTTGGGTGGTCCGGAGGTTAGTTGTTCGCGCGCGCGAGATGGATCAAATTTCATGGGTTCGAATCTCGTGAGCAGGATCGTGGATGTACACTGCTGATGAATTCCATACTAGGACGAAACAACCGTTCAGTGTGTCCAGGTTTTCCATCGTGGTCTAACATCAATCTATTCATGATTTCAATCGAAAACTTAATAATCTCCATAATCCCATGCTGATATAATGACACTATCAAAATATTGAAACCGGAGGAGTTGTAGCTTACACATTAAAGCCATTGAGCTCTTACAGGTTTTAATACTTCATTGACAAAACACTCTTCATGCTTACAGATAAACTCTTTATTGACTTAAAAATATATTTTTGAGTTGGTTGTTTAAATCTTCTCAGTGATGTATAGGACTTCAATTGATCAGTTGCTTATTAGCATATGTAGATTCCATGCAAACTGCCTCGATATTGTCCTAAGCTACAAGCATTATAGGCAGATGGTCGTGTAGTCTCATGGATTATCTGAAGTTAAATACTGATATCATTGGATGCCGACTTAGTGGTATAGAGATTAAATGTTTTCTCGTTAGACCGAAAGTTCTGTATCCAAGTCCTATATGCGGGCACATGGATGCATATTACTGAGGAGTTCCATTCTAGAACAAAACAAACATCTAGTGCTTTCAGACTTTTCATTGTGTTCTAACTTTAATCAACTCATAAATTCAAATATATATTTATTATTTATTAACCACTCTTTCATATACTTATTATTCTGCTGATATTTTATAAATTCTTAAGGGAAAATACATCTATATAGTATATAGTACAATGTAGTTTATTTTTCTAATTTCAATCAAATATTCAAAGAATCGAATAGTTCATTTCTATGTACTAATGAAATTCCTAAGGGAAACTAAATTTTACTTTTAATTAACTAACTAACTAACTAACTAACTAACTAGTCATATCGTCGGGTTTCTTTTCTACTTTTTCTTTTTGAAGGGGGTGGGGTCTTCTTCTATATTCATCAATTCGCGCTTTTTTTCTTTTTTTTTCTCATTTTGTCTCCATGGTATTCATTTATTATTATTATTATTATTATTCCAAGTATATATGAAACACACCATAGAACATAATGAATATTAAAGAAGAAATCATGTTTCAATCATTTTCTTATATTCAATATATGTACGTATATTGTAGATTTCAATTTGATGAAAGTCCATTTGTTATACATGAAACATGAGTAAATTACTGTCTCTATGAGAGAGAAAGAGAGAGAGAGAGTGTGTGTGTATATGTGTGTGTGACACCGAATTATATGACACTTAATTATTATTTCAATTCCTTACACTAATTTAGTTGTTTTTTTTTTATTTTTTTTTCTTAAATTTACTAATTTAAAACGTAGTTTACTGTTCATACAAATAAAATTTGTGTATTTTTTTTCTTGATCATTTTTTTATAGTGAAGAGTTTCATAATTGGAGTGTTTCGATGTGTGTGTGTGTATGCGTGGGTGGGTGAGTGGTTGGTTGGTGGTGGTGGTGGTGGTGGTGGTAGGGGTTAAAGGATTGTGTATTTTGAGCAATTTTCTTGTAAAAATATTTTTCTCTTGACTACACAAAAAGAAACACCCAGAGATTTTGTAGTAATTTGATTATTCATTCATGTGTATATACATACCTACATACATATATACATACATACATTTAGAATCCATTAAATTTGGCTTGAAATATTTGTCAAATTTTTAGACATACCCTAAGTTGGGT